AGGATCCCTGTCGTCCCAGCCCACTCCCTCTTGCTGCTTTTTAATGTTTTATGAAAGCTCCCTTTCCCAGCTCCTGCTTCCCACAACCAAAGTCAGGCAAAAACACGTGGGGAAATGTGGGTGGCCCTCAGGGTGTGTTCTTCTGTGGCCAAACATGACTTTCTGGGCTTTTTTTTTCTTGATCTTTCCCCTTTTATTGACTGTAAAACACCCCAGGAATATCTTTTGGCAACTGTTGACCAGAATGAGGTGTCTCTTCTAGAGATGGACTCGGGCTTGGACTCAGACAGGCACTTAAGAGGGTTCCACTGTAGCCCCTTAACGTGTCTGACTCTCAGGGGTTACAGAGGAAGCTGATAAACAGCACTTTGATGTTTATTACCCTCAGAAAAGTAGGATCTTAAGTAACTTCTCCTCTAATGGGAAACACCTTTTCCTAAAGTGTGGACTAATTACACCAATTCAGAGCTGCTGAAAACATTTCCTTGAAGAGAACCATTTGAATTGGATTGCTTGGAGTCTCTCTCTGGTGAGTTGAGTTGCTGCCAGCCTACATTTGTTTCTCCTCACTAATGGCATTATTACCTTCCTGCAGTTCTGGGCCATAATAACCCTTTTACTTCCCTCCACATTATGGTTTGAATACTTAACTCTGCACGAACACTGGCACTTTACATTTCAGTCCTTTTCTACCAAACAAGGAGTGAGCACATCTGTTAGGAAAGAAATACTTTAAACCTGTCACCTCTCTGAATTCCCAGGGACAACTGTGTTTAAAAACAGACACACACAACCCCCAAACCTGCCAAATTACCAGGCTGAGTTTCCTCCCTAGCAGGCTTCTGAGGGCTGCTTGCTTGGCTGGCTGCTCTAGGATCATGAGAGAGCATCACCCTTATCCCTTTGCACATGCTGTACCATCTGTCCTCAATCTCCCTTTATAGGGGTGCAGATTCCAAACCACATTTCTGAGGAGAGACATGTCTGAAGAATCTTGCTAGGTATGGCTGTGGTGCTATTTATATTGCAGGATTTTTTTTATCCCCTTGTCCTGCAGCCAGAGTGTGTCTGAACCTTTCTGGTTTCCACCACCCAGAAAACCTTTTGTGCTGTAGTCCCTGGGCCATACAAACCCCCCTGTTCTGTTGTGTGTGTTCTGCTCGAAGCAGGCGAAGGTGAAATGTTACTGAAGTCAGATGTTACAAGGACACAAGAGATGCCTTTAATCTTTTATTGTACATTATAAAATGTTTATTGCTCTGTCTGTATCAGAGGTGTTGCCCTCTCTCTCTTGGTGATGGAGGAGTACGTTCTGGCAAAGGATCCACTGAAGAAACCTTTGGGGTTGGCCTGCCTTCTGAAACTGGCACAAGGGAAGCCTTTGCTTCTGCACCAACACATCTACAACAGGCTTCCCAGGGCCCTTCTCCCAGGTCGACTCTTTTGGAAAGGCTGGTGACAGTGAAAGAGGAGAGATGGCTGAACTCTGTTCCTGCCAGCCTCTTTCTTTGCAAGGACTTTTAAACCAGGCTCATCGGAGCGCAGGTTTGTTGTAACAAGGTTCAACCTTGCTCAGGCCAACCTGTCTTGGTTTCTGATGGAACAGGTAGGATCTTGCCTCATCCCCTAGTGCATATGGAGTGGTCTTGTGGAGTAATTAAATAAACACAGATACCCCATGGCACACTACAAAGAGGAAATCTTTTCCATGTGATGAACTCGCATCTACCAGCTTCCAGAGCACCAGCAATCCCAGGGATCCTGTCAGCTTACACACATCAAGCACTTAATAAGAGAGAGGAGAACCCCAGCCCCTTTCCCCTTCACCCTCATCCTTTGGGAGGAGGACTGCCTCCAGCAGTTACCTGCTGTACAACGTCACAAAAGTAGTGCAGAGAGGACGTGTGTGGAGAACCAGACCTTCCCCCCAGAACCCCACTGAAAGAAGCAATTTAAGAACTTAAGCCCTCAGAAAAAGGTCCCTTAGGCAAGAGCCTTTCACCATAAAGAGCTATTGCCACTGGAGACCTTGCATAGCGACCTGTATCATCAGTTTATAGTTTCTTTTTTCTTTTTTTTTTTTGCTGACTGGCTACATTTTTACGGACCTTTTATCCCACTGGTGGTGGACTCAGGTCCAGCTGAAAATACCATGAAGAAAATGATTGAAATGATCCTGGAAGATAAATAACAGCTTCTGGTGTCCCCTCGTATGGGTCTGTGCCTCAGTGCCCCGATTATCTGAGATGAAGAGCACCAGTGTGAGACAGGAGAGACAGCAACAGTGGAGATGTGCTGCAGCCTAACTGGAGAACGACCAGGGGAGTTCTCACATTTTTGGAAACTGGGGTGTGCCTTTTGTTTTAAAAACCCACCTGCAAGACGCGTTACACAACACACATCCATGGAACAAAGCAAGCCAGGAGCACACAGCAGCTGAAATCTGGCTGCTGGTCGTGTCTGCGATGAGCTTTCCTCCTTTCTTGCCTGGAGAGGAGTGACAGTGACTGATGCCTGAGCTCACGTTAATACTGTCAAGATGTAGTGACAGTGAGACGAAATAAAGATACAACAAAACCTTGGACGTTTTCCAAAGACAGGAAAATTATTCCAGAAGACGGAGTGTGAGGGTGGAGAGGAGGGTGTGAGAAGTTGCTCCAGCCCAAGTGATTCATGAGTCCAGCAGAGGATCACCGGCAGCAGCCGTCTCACTGATGCTTTTCTATCTTCATGGATTCGTTTGGGTTTGGGGGCTTTTTTTTGCAGGATTTTTTTTCTTTCTGGCCAGATGTGTTGCAGAACCACGGGCAAGGAGGCGCACGCCAGCAAGTGACAATCACTAGGTCTCTTTCCAAATTGCTCCAGCAGTTTTTCACCTCCCTAGTCATCAAGGCTCAGAGGCAGACGGTGAGAGTGAGGGATGGAGTCCATCTATCAGCTGGCAGACTGTCACGCTTCGATGATGTTCACTGAGGGCTTGTTTTTTGGAAACTAGAAGAGAAGAGGAGACAAAGGAAGGATGTGTAGGAATCGCTAGAGAGGGGAAAAAACCCAACAGCAGAGATGAGTGCAGCATGCTGGTCAGTTTTTGGTTTTCTAAAAGTCCTTGTGCCCATCCCCTCGGGCTAATGACAAGGGGCCAAAGTTGAGGCTTTAGGGCTGCACGTTCATCCCTGTGTGCTGCTGAATGAGCAGGGATCAGTGGAGGACTGCAGATAATAAGTAAATGTGAAGTGTTTGGGATGTGCCAGTGCAAGTTGTGAATAGAGACACAAGGGAGTTAAATCAATTGAAAGAAGTTGGTACAAATTCTAGGCTTGAGTCTGCTGTATGTTATGGTACCCATCGTGTAGCACCAGCCGTGCTCCTGCTGATCAGCCTTCAATTAACTGCAGGAGTGATATCCCCTCTACCCACCCCACCTGAGGGCTGCTGTGGGGCAAGGACCCAAGCAGCTCAGGGACTGTGGCATCACTCTGGGCATTTTTCTTCCAGAGACACTCAGCTGTTTCAGAAACACAGATTGAAACCCATAGTCCTGCTGCGTTTGGGCGGCTCAGACCACTAAGGAAGGGGGACTGGCATGTGTGGAGGTGAAGAATTCCTTTCTGCATCCCTGCTGGGGGGAGGAGGCTGGCGTGAAGATGGAGGCCCAGCTGGAGGTTGGTTTGGTGCCCACCAGCAGCTCCTCACCTTGCTGCGGAGGAGCCCCCCGCTCTGGTGCTCGGGGGTGCTGTTCTCCGAGGCGCTCTTCGCTTTCTCCTTGCTGTTATTTGGCTCGTTATCTTTGATGATGTCGTACTGTCTGCAAAACAGGGCGATCACCCCTAACAGGAAAAAGTGTTAGTGATCACACAGATGAGCTCAGCCCCTGGAGCCCGCAGAGATCAGAGATCCCTTCCTTGCCAGCCGTGGAGCCCGCGGCAGCAGTCACAAGTGCTCCTAAGGATCGTTTTCTAAAGCAGCTCATCAGCCCTCTGGCTGTTTCCTTCTCAATTCCTAATTCCATGCTAAACTAGTTAGACAGAAGGATGAATTCTATTCCAACTCCTCTGTTGTTAAATGGGACAAGTGTTTTAAGCCCAACATCAACACTAACCATGGGGTTAAATGGGATCTTTGCTTCAAACACAGGAGCTCCTGAAATCTCTGGTTAGTGAAAATGTGTCCTCTGATCTTTCTCCTCTGGGGCGAGGAGAAGGAGCTGGAGCTTGCAGATGAGGGGCAGGTACTGAACCTGCCCACGTGTGGTATGAGAAAGGGCCTTTTGAGCAGCAGGACAACATCTGCAAATATGCACCAGTGACGGCAGCAAAAGCTGCCAGTGGAAATTTCCTCCCACACACACACAGGCACATGAAGAGAAACGCAGGGGCAGCCATGACATGCAAGAATCACTGCAAATGTCCTTTTTGGAAGCTTTTATGTGACATTTTGACCAAATGACTTCTCTGCCTGCAGATTCCAAACACGGAGGTCGAGTAGATGCAGGCAGATATGCTGCTTCTCCCTGACTGAAAAATATTCCAGCTCCCTTAATAGCACAACATATGTAAAGCTTCCACCAGATCATCACAAACTGCTTTATAAAGCGAGGTGTTGTTATGGCAGCTGCCCCTGGGTGTTACTGATAAACACACTGGTCCAAATTCTTCCCTGCATATGTGAGCAAATGGCTGATCCTAGGAGAGCAAATTGACATCTGCCACAGTCACACCTTCTGTGATTTCCGATGGTAAAACTGAGGCACAGAGAAGCAAAGTGCTGTGAACAATATCAGGAAGATGAGAGAGCACAAGAGCTTGGGTCTTGTCTCAGTTCAGAGCCCTGGGCACAGGCCTGTCTGGTTTGCATTTGCTAAAACATTGCCCAACACTGAGGTTGTGGCCACAAGCTGAGAGCTGAGAAGAGGGTTTTGCATACTGAGACTCTGTAAAGAACCCACTAGATGTGGAGATATTTTCCCCACCCACCCACTTTCCTTTTTAAATGTAAGTCATCTGTCTAGAAGGGAAGTGGTGGTATTAGCAAAGTCTTTGTTCTGACACTGATCTGAGTTTTAGATTATACTACAGTGAAGAAAGTGGTGAATCACTTGTTCAGTCACTTCATGTAATTATTCATGATTGTTTTTACTGGCAGAGCATTTAAATTTGAACGTGTACAACTAAAACTTGACATAAGCGCTGAGTGGATCATGGACTAGAGGTTTTGGAAACCTTTTAGTTTAGGTTCTTTGGCAACAATTGCTGTCCAGTCTCTGGAAATGCAGATAACTTATACCTGGATTTGATTCTGGGTCATCTGGATTCGATTCTGGGTCATCTGGATTCACATGAAGAACCCTTGCAGAACTGCACAGGACACAGTTAATCCCTCTGTCCCCCTCTTTTGTGGCAGATCTCAGATCAGTGGCTGCTTTCCTCCTCACATCTCTCCCTTGAGGTATCTCACCTCAGCAGAATCTAGTACTGAAACAAGTTCTCCCAGTCCTCAGCCACTCCAGACTGTGGTGGTGGGTTTCTCCTCTGACTGAGGAACACTCTGTGTGTGACTGCACACACTCCATGTGTGGAAAAGTGGTTTGATGGCACAAGAGGACTAAAGATCGAGTGGCAAAGGTTATCTTTTACAGCTCATAGATTCACCACAGTGCTGATTTCCCTTCCTGCTGCTTTCCTGGGGTCACCTGAGCCGTTCCCCCCTGGGCAATGTGCTCTGCAGGGAGCAAATCTTGTTTCATGAATGTTTTATGCTGTGGCAGGAGCAGCAGCTGACTGGCAGCCAGGGGAGGCCGGGGCTCTAGACAGAAAACAAACCTGTGCAAACTTTATTTCCCTTTAACTCATGCGTTTCATTTCCAGGCTGAACAAGCTGAAGAGCTGGCTGCAGCCCCTTCAGACGTGCTGAGCTGATGGAGCAGGAGTCAGAGGCATTGTCCCACTCTAGCTGTAGTGTCAGATTGTCAGAAGTTTGGCTCCAGAGCACCCTTGGGGACAGCAGCTCTCAGCCAATGCCACTCCTTCCTCCTCCCAAACTCCTGTAGATGTTCCCTTCCTTTTGATTAATATGTTTCTGCTACTGGCCCTCCTCTTCCTATAAAACACTCTTGGTATTTTAATCGTGGATGCGGAGAGAATCTGGGTTTATTGGTGTTTTGATGTTTGGGGCCATTTGATCTTCCAATGCTTCCATTATTTTAATTGATTTTGAAGTGGGGTTTAGTGTCTATATAATAGTGGGCGTTGAGAGCAAAACTCTTAAATTTCTGTTTTGCATGAGAGTTGGAGTCATGTAATAGCCAGATAATTGCAGTGACCTGTATCGTTTGAAGGGCTGGAGGCATCGTGTTGGATGGCTGAGGACATTATCATCAGCTCACTCTGGAAACATTGAGATTACAGGATTAGCCATGGGGAATTAGGCAATTGGTTCATCAAGCCCATTATCTGCTTCTGCTGGACCAGATCAGAGCACTGATTCACCTGCTCTGGGCACTGCCCCACCCGTGGTGCTGCCGAGGGAGCGGTGGTGCCCCTCCAGCAGTGCTCTGTGCAGGAGGAAGGGTTTCTTTTCAGGTCTTCAATGATTGCACACGCAAACCAAGCAAGCCAAGTGGCCCCTGGGGCTGTTAGATGCTTTTGACAGGAAGATGGGACTGACCTGCCCACATAAACAACACCACAACAATGATGAGAATTTCCCCCGCTCGCAGCTGTTGGTTTTTCTTCGCCATCTCCTTCATTGTCACCTCATCTGCACAAGGGGGAAAGAAAGACCATGAAACCAACGGCACGGCTCAGGCTGCACCAGGCGCTGGTGTAACAGTGCCCTGGACTCCAACCATCAACACCTCGGGGGCAAAGCTGGCAGGGAGAGAATCCTCACCCATCAGTCACGACAGCAGCA